GCATAGATTCATTTATGCTCTTTTCTCTCTTTATACCCACAGGTAAACTTCGCCATGTCCACCCTGAGATGCAGACTACAACAGGAATTCACTGGCTAGCATGAAACCTAGTCGTGGAAGGCTTGGGGTGTGCATTCATGTTTTGCAGCCAAGAAAATTGAAAAACAAGCATGGAATGCAACAGCATCATGGAAGCAAAGAAAATAAAAACTAAAAAAGCAAGACTGACACAAACATACATGATAGAAAACACACAAGTGAATAAAATTTCTTACACAAAACATCACTGTTACACTACATGTGTCACACAGTAAAGTTATAAAAAAACGACCAGCATCATATAGTTGAAACTAAAAACATATTTGAAGTATTATAAGTTTGAATATGCTGCTCCTGAGCAAGAAATTTGTTCTCTCTTGATAGAAGAAAACATATTTGAAATATCAATAAAGACAATCATTAACATTCTGTGTGAAAAAAGCCACAGTATGCCTGAAAAGGTGCCATTTGCATGCATGGTAACATAGGCCTTTCCTGCTTTTTCCGATGACCACAAGGCCGGAGGCTACCTCAAAACCAATTCCCTAGGGAATGCATTCGTGCAATTTTTGAAATTCTTTCAAAGCGATCGCAGTACTTACACAAATGCCTCCGCCCCTGAGGCGTCGCCAAAAATGGGGTTCAAACATGTCTTGTTACCTCAAAGAGATAAAACATGCCTGCAGAGGTCAACAGACTCTAGAACGCATTTTGCAAAATGCGTTCTGTAGTATGTTAACACTTGAGATGTACTGAATATGATACTCAAACTATTTCTATATATAACAGTTATGAAATGTTTTCCTTTTCCAATAAAACAAGATTGAAAAAAATCAACATTTGGTTAACTTAGCAGTAACCAGACTCAGATTTTGCCACTTTGACCCACTTTGTAGGCTTATGGCTAACAAATGGGAGACAAAGTTTGCTTGTTAATGTTTAGTTTGTTGCCTTGTTTGTTGTGTCACAGTACCCACTTGTACCAGGCCAAAGGTCCACCAGCAAATATAGCTAACATATCAGAGAGCAGCTACAAATATTCCTTGATCGAAAGAAATACATTTATTTGGCTGCCTCAAGGCTTTAAAGGTATGTGCTACAGAGGAGTCTGTGCGAGCTAATTGTTTATACAACAAGCAATGATACGTGACAAGGTCAACAGTCAACAGGCATGGTTGACTGGCATGGTAGCTGACAGGTGCAAGGTGTCATCCATCATTTATGGCCAGAAGCTGTTGTGTTGTAACTGAAAAGATAATTCATTCACGGCATTTAATGGGTTGAACACTGGTTATTGTTGCATCAGAGTAATGTGTATTTGCATACACTTTCTTTTGGGACACAACAATATGGAAACTCAGATACAGATGCTTACAAGTAATTTCATATGTCAAACAAAATGTCAAACATGACATTATGTGTGTTTGTTACGGTGTTGTCCTACACAATGTACATTCTCAGGTAGCTTACACCTAGCCAAGTCAATTAGTACAGCCTGGTACCCACCTTAACCTAATTATCAGCTAATTTACATAAATAGTCAGGTACAAGGGAGGCACAGCAAATGCCATTGCATAATCACCTATTGTTTGTGTAAGACTTTACCTTGACCTTTGATACGTCAAACAGAAATGACGTCATAATTAGTGATATAATTCGAATAAAATCCAGATCGATATTTGGATCCTATACCCTCTTTTCCTTAATTAAGATCGAAATACAATCTTGAAATCTAACAAATGTCAACATTCCATTTCATAGACTCCAGTCAGCCAGAAGTCATTACACCACCCAGTTTCACAGGTCCATTAGCCTGACTAGCCATTTAAATGTGGGGCCCACACATTAGGAGAGATGACAAATGCTTTACATAAACAGACTGAAACATTACACCTTCCTTTCCCATGGAGAACATTCAGAATAGGGCAGATATAATTAATGGACTGGCTTTTAAAGGGTAATTTGTACAGCTTTGCTCAAGTGCTTTACCTGACAAACCTTCATCCTCTTTCACCTATATGTAGAAGGGGTACACATGCCTTTGAACTTGAATGAGAACATTTTAAGGAGAAACCATGCATTTTACCAGTCTGTATGTTGCAAAGCAAACCTTGTCTGGGCCTCAGCAGTTATTCTTTTAAAACAACAGTTACTCGCAACTGTTAAATATATTTGGTACCAACTTGGTGATGAATCTTATGATTCCTCAGCATTGAGATGAACATTACAACAACACTCAACATTCAATGCACATAACATCCTTCAATGTAATTACCTAACAAGGTCAATGTTTATGCCTGCTTGAACCCTGGGGTAGTTGACATTTATATGGGAATTAATAGGCAGCTGTGAACACTTGAAAATACCTTCAGGCAAAAGTGGTGGTGGAAAAAGGCCCAATAAGGACAATAGTCTGGTCACTATTGGTTATGGGGAGAAACTGACAACCTCTCTGATTGGTCCATTCCATATCACCCCACAGTACACCCTGGTATGGGGCATCTAGTGAGGGTACAAAGGAGTTTTCAAGCATACTACTTTTAACAAGAAAGGCATTTCTGTATAGAACGGCACTAAAATTTATCACTTTATCAACATCATAACAAATTTTGTTGACTATCAAGCCATAAATCTGCTAGTTAGGGGGTTAAGTATTGTTAAAACTAACAATGGCCACTTTACCACAAAACCCTTACATAGCCTACTCACACAAAAATTGTCTGCTCCACAGT